TTTGTGTGCTATTTAGGCTCTCCGCTTCGAAATCGCTACCGTATTCAGACTGCAAAAAATACTCTCTAACCTTTTTTTTCTCAGACAAGCATAATATTCAAAGTTTTATTCATGCATATGTTCTATTTATGTCTACGTCTTCTATAGAATACTGCGATTTTTATGACCGACAAAAAAAACGACGATTTTGAGAATTTCGAATTCGGAGAGAGCTCTGCAGGTAACATTTTTTCCGTCTTTTTCAGCGTTGAATGGTTTTGTAAAAACTATGAAAGAGATAACCGAAAAAGGAAGAAGAGATCGATAAATTGCTCTCACCTCGATTTACACTATTTCAAAAGGTCTGAGTTTCGGAAACCGCGGCTTGTCGTGAGCAGGTTAGTCTGGAAGTCTAGTGACAAAAAACATGCGTGAAATTGCAGGCTTTCAATGGAATAAAGAAAACGAGTTATGACCCGATCAAAACGATTTAAATATATCGGGATTAATTATATAAAACGAGTGATCTAATGAATGGATTTTGATTTACGGCATTCTCAGTACGGTAATTATGTACATGGCTGTTTAACTCATCCACTTAAATAGCGAAGTTGGTTCGTCATGCCGAAAAAAATTCATTTATGATCTAAATATTGTTAAGAGGGTTTCCAGAAGAGTATACAAATGAACTTCTCAGGAGTCGCTTTTCTCGTCATTGTTTCCTAAATATTGCGAGAAACATTCGGTGAAAATTTGCCGTTTAGTGCAAAATCTCTCGGATAACGTCACTCGGAATCAACATTGAAAACTTGGGAACCTTACGTTGTCAGGAAAGATAGAGAATATCTCGATTTATTGGAAACGATGACACAGTGTAGGCTTTGAGTGAGTTTATTGACAACATCACATGATTAAAAACCTTGTTCTTTCAGTTGAATCTTCTTTGATTTCATAAAGAATATTCATCCTATCTACAACCCCAAGCCTATGATGATTGAAAGAAAAATTACAAACCTGTAAACAATGAAGTACTGAAAGAAAGTGCATTTAGCTTGCACTAAGAAGCGAAGAAGATAACTTATTAAATGAATCTCAAGGAAGAGTACACATCGTCCGCTAGAGGACATAAATGTACTATGAACAAAACGGTATGAAGACTTCCATTTTGCAGACTTATGACCTATATCTCATTCCAGAGCTCCAGTCGCCATAATGCTACAAGCTGCAAAAATACGAGAGCACTAAAGAAGGTTTGCAGGAGAGTTCCGGATATCGTGATTCACTTCGAAGTTCTAAATACTGTGATACCGAAGCTGAGAATAAGAAGTTAGCTCACATTACTATTATTTCATGAGGTTTTTTTTTACTTTTTAGCTATTTATACTTATATTCTTACTATTCATTCGATTCAATAAATATTTTTGTTAATTAGTTTGATTTGATTGTTAAATAAAGGGCGAAAATTTAAATTTCACTGAAAGCGCGCGCAAACGACACTCCGCTGCTCGTTCGAACCAGGAGAGAAGCTGGAGAGAACACAGTGACATATCTGTTCGACCCAAAACCTCTCCCAGTTCGAACCGATATCTCTCTCAGTTTTCTCCCGTCGAATCTCTGAGTAAACTGTCAGCCGACATATGTATATACAATAATTATTTAATTAAAATCAATCACTTGAAACGGAAATCAATAAACCTTATTATGATTGTAAAAAATCGGAGCTGTGAAAGATAAGAGTGGGCGTGGCCAACGATTCCCGTAACGAAAACCACCGTAACCTAAAATTTTCGATCATTTTTTTTCGATTTTTTCTGACAACTTTCATGTCGAAAACCTAGAAACAAGACAGAAAATATTATTTTTTCTAAATCTGAAAATTAAGGAAAACGGATGAAAATCGAGAAAAATATAAAAGTAAAACTATTTGCTGATTACGGTAGTTCGGCGGCCTGCAGATCTTCTCTTCCACAGCTCCGATTTTTTGCATAACAGCATAATAATGACAACAACAAGAACATCGGAACCAGGTTACATCATTTATTCAAAATTGAGATAGCAATTTTACAGTACTTTAGTAATCGTGAAAGATGAGAATTTTCAAATCAGGTTTTATAAATTAATTCGCATTTTAAACTTTATTCAAAATTCTGAGATTCAGATGTCCCCAACTTCAGCTATAATAGCTATAATATTGCATATTTTTGTACAGGTCTACATCATTTATTATCAATTGCGAATTATCAGGCACCGAACTTAGAAAAACTACCACGAGAACCGGGGGTACGACGAATTCGAACGTTTTCAAAATCGAACAGACCTAAAATCGAATTGATTCAATTCAGGCAACAGAGCGCGCATGAAAGCACACACAAAACAGCGTTCAAATTTGGGACAGTTCGACCCCTTACCAGTTCGAACTTGTAACAGTTCGATTCTGTCCGCGTTCTGTTCTGGTAATTGTGAGAAAAAAGGACTGTTT